TCTGCTAAAGGATGGTCAGGAAGCAGTTAATGTGATGAGCCTTTACAGGACCCTTGGAGTTTTCTTGAGGATATAACTGGATAGCACAGCAATTGTAGCGTGAAAGAAAAGTGCTCTGGTCCATCCTTCCAAGCACTCCCCTCATATGCTGGAATCAGGTTCTGGGTCGGAGTCCAACACTCCTCCACACATAGCTCAGTACAATCCAAAGCAGTTGTGTCCAACCTGTGACCCAACATGGCTATGGGTGATGCCCAGCACAAAATTGTAAACATACTTTAAACAGTTGATTACACTGTTCAACAAATTTTTATTTTTTGCCAGTTTTGGAAACAAAAGGATCCATTTCTTAATGAATTTCACATTCTGAGTTCAAATATAACAATGAAATTTGTCAATTGGCTCTAGTTTTTCTGTAAACGGAAAGTTTTCTACTATAGGCGTAATGACTACATAATGCACAATAATTATATAGATAGATGTCTTTCCACAAATATAAAGCAAGTGATATTGACTACATAACAAAGCCTAAATGGCATAATATATTGCATAGGATTACCAAGAAAAATTATAGCCATAAGCTAAGTTGAATCATTTTAATACTTAGGATTCTCACTAGTTTGGTCTTCAGTTTGTGTCGGTTTTGCTTCTCTTTTTTTTCTCTTGTAGGAAAGGAAAGGGCTATCTCTTACAACTGCACGTGACTACACGCTTCAGGTTCTTCCCACTTGACTCAACCACGAAGGATTCTGGTGCTTTAGGAATTGGTAGCCCCTCTCATGAGGAACTGGACGTATTGCCGATGGAATATTTGGATAGTGCACAGATAACTTTTTCTTCTTATTTAGCCCTTTTACAATTGGAGGCACCATACAAAAGTAACAATTACTAACATGATCTGTTGGCTCTCTCCAAATCATTGGCACAGTGAAAGGCATAGATGCCTTTTTTCCAAACCATTGCTCCAGTGCCGTCCCACAAGAATTGCAGCATATATGTGGTGCCCAGCTCTTGTCCTGGTCTCCTATCTTGCAGCCAAAATACAAGTTGTAGGCTTTTAATCATTCCTGTTATCCTCCTTTTTTGTGAGATAAAAGTTATTTCACCGCAGATATAGCAGAAATTATCTGCTTTATATCACACAAGTTCGAGGCATTACTGAGTAGCCTATATAAGCATAAAACGAAATGTAAAGATGCTGTCAAACTACAATCAGCTACAGATACTAGCAGCTTTTATGCAGTGAAGTGAAGTGATGCAATTAAAAGGCTAATATTGCATCATCTCAGTATACATGCAATTTTCTATTGGTCACCAGTATCAATTGCGCAATATGCAGCTGAAGTTGCATCATAATTTTGAATGGCTTACGTCATTAGATGGGTGAATATATCATTGGAAACTAGAGCCAATCAACATTTTTTAGGGCCATTTTTGTTTTCAGCACCCCATAATTATGTAAGATTAGCTAATTTTATGCCCAAAACTTTTTACCTGTTGAACAGTGTTATCTTTGAAATGTTTTTTTAAAAATGTGTTTATACTTATCGAACACATGAAGAAAAATTTGTCATTGTCTCTTTACTGGACTTTTATCATTTTTATTTTCCCAAAGTAAAATCTCCCACTCTTCACAATCACGCCTTATTCATGTCATCAGTTTTTGGCAGCACCTATATTTGTGAGCAATTATTTTCAACGATGAAGCACACAAACGGCAGAACTAGATCCAAAATATCTGATGAGCACCTTAAATAATTCATTGAGAATTTCTACTATGGAACCAGATATTGATGCGTTAGTTTTATCAAAACCAGTGTCAAATATCGTGCTCGTTTTATGTTGCCCTCTTTTACTTTTCTAATAAAAAATATGACAAAAAAATTTTATTACTCAGATAGGTACATTATCTATATCAGTGATTGTTAACTTATGATCTTTCTGACTTTTTCTGATCATCAGCTATCCTTATTGTTAGTGTATTTTATCTGAAAAAAAAAAAAATAACAAAAAAATAGCGTTGTGCTGTCAGGAAAACCTCTAAATCAATATATAGTGAATAACAAACAAATAAAAAAATATATTCCTGTAAATTAAATATCAAAGTCCACCAGAAGTGTGCAAAAACGTCATGCAGCAGCTGTGCACCAACCACTAAGTGATTATAATGCCGTTTACCAAATCCTTATACCCCACAACTCAGGAGATTAAAATCAGCATTTAAAAGATAACAAATCCTGTATGGATGGATGGATGGCTCAAGCTCTCATCCTCTCACATCCCAGCAAGCCTCAAGCCTCACTCTCTCATGAATGGCATTCCCCAAATGTGGTCACTGGATCATTTCTCATATATTGGTCCCAGCAGCAAAAGCACATACCAAAGAAACAGCAAGGAAATCCCATAGTGAAGTTCTGTTTAAAAATATTTATAATAAACCAAGTGGGTACTCACAAAACAGACAGTATGATAAGCATAAGCACAGCACCGCCGACTCTCCTGGCGGGCGTGATGACGTCACCACTAAACTCTTCCCTATGCACGTTTCGTCTGATGAGACACCTTCCAAGGGCAACAGAGTAGTGTATTTTATGTGTGGCCCAAGACAATTCCTCTTCTTTCAATGTGGCCCTGGAAAGTCAAAAAGTGGACACCCCTTGGACACCCCTGATCCAAAGGAAAAGCCACACAGTGACGACGTCCTCACAGTTAAAACTCTAACCAGCCAACATGCTTCAGCACATGGACCTGTTTCCAGGGCAACCTCCCCAACATGCCTTATCCAATGGGCCCAAACAAAGAGGATTGGGCCCATCACGTGAGACATGTCGAAGATGGGGCCTTGGGAGACAGGACCATGTGCTAAAGGCAATGCTTTTTTTTTTAGTTTTGCACAGAGTGGAGAGGAATTAGGACAGCTGTGAGGTCCTGTTGCTGTCTGTACCCTCCATTGGGGCAATTCACCCCTCTCTTTTTGTACCATTATCACTAAGAGTGAAAGTCAAAGAAAACCCTAAATTTTGGGTGGTCACCTGAACAGAAATTGAGGGGAAATTCTACAATTGGGACACTAGTTCTGCTGAGTACCAGGGATTCCCTCAGTTTGGAAGGATTTTCCTATCACTTGTTTTGGCCAGGAAGAGAAGGAAAATCTCCACCATGGGGACGCAGATGGCATAAAAACTGACAGGGGTTATAAGCATCCAGGGCCATGGATAAGGGGTACCACCAATCCTCCTGTATGGAGCCCAGGCCAGCAGGGGGGCCCAGGCAGCTGGGTGAACCGGGTGTGGGCTGGGAAGGTGATGGAACAGTGGAGGGGGGGGGACAACTACTAAAACCGATCACCTGTATGGGGCTCTCTGCAGCAGCTGAAAACTGGATTCTTCTCTCCCTCCTGCTGGCTTTCAGCTGCTGCGGAGAGACCCATAGAGGTTATTGGTTTTAAGTAATTGCCCCCCTGCCACACCCATCATCCTCTTTGTGCACCATACATTTTCCTCTGCTGCCCAGGTCCCCCTGAGTGCCCCTACACCTGCAGTGCTGTTGGCTTCCCACCACCAGCTGCAAGCACACAATAGGATCCTTCAGGATGGAGAGTATGGGAAGGGTCCGGTAAATATGTTACATTTACCAGCCCCTTCTTTCCCTGAATGAACACAATGAGTGATTGGTACCTATCACTCACTGTGTTCGTTCATAACTGAAGCATAGTAAACTGTGTTTTTGGGGGGGCCTTATCAGGTTGGCTGTATAGGGCCCTGTGGTTTCTAACAGCAGTCCTGTAAGCATCCCTTACTACTCAGCTCTACTTCAATGTCACTCTTCTACTATGCCATACGGCTATAATATTTGTAAAAATATACGGTAAATATAATAAATATATATTACAATATAATAAAATAAAAATACAAGGGCAATGCCCACCTATCAGCTTCCTTTCCATACATTATTTTTCCCAACACAACAGGTACTCTTTAACATTCCAACATTTTCAGCACTAAGAGGTTCAACATTTGATAACGTTACAGATAAAGTAAAAAACCACTTTAAAAATTGATCATGACGTCCTGAAATTGATATTTTTTCTAGCGACATTTTCTTCTGTGGCTCCATATCATTTGATTAGTCAGCCTTAATTTTAAAAGGTCAGCATTATTTTTTCTTTCCACACCCACAACGAAGGGGTGAATGCAAATCCGAAGCATCTGCAATGACATCTGTTGTACAAGTAAAAAAATCCTCTTCGAGCCTGGAAGACAAAGCGGCTCTTGCAATTAGAACGCAGACCCTGTAAGGGAGCGTGAAACTGCCAGAGCTGTGGATAATACAACGTTCTGTCTCATTAACCCCATGTGATGCTGGGTGCATGCAGGGTGTACGCAGCACACTGCGAGGTTCAGCTTTAGGGATGTTGAGTCAGAAAACATGAACTTGCGCATCGTATTACTCTGTTGCAAATTGCAGGATCTGACTCAGTGATGGTAAACTAGGAAATAAACATTTGCACATGCATTGCTCATCTTTGGGAATGTTTGCCCTGTCACCAACTTACTTTTTAAAAGAAATAATTAAGACCAAACCCTTTAAGGTCAGGTCCTAGTTGTTTACCAAACAGGGGCGGACTGACCATTTGGAAGCACGGGCACTGCCCAAGGGCCCGGCGTCAGTAGTTATACTCACTGTGGAACCTAAGGGGTTAATCATCGGCATCGTGTAAAAACACTGATCATGACTTCTCTGATCCTCCCCTTCTTCCAGTGTCCCCCTCCTATCTCCTGATAAGACATATTATGTGGAGTCACTCTGCCCATGCTTAGTTTGGTGTGTAATGCTAGAGAGGTTTTTTTTTTCTTCTTGGGAGAGTGCTTGTGATCAGCACAGGGCCAATCCGCACTGTGCAGACAGAGGTCAGGGGTTCTGCACCTTCCTAGAGCAAAATTAAAACTTCTACAAGCTTTAACCAGTGCTGGGCTGGACACTGATAGAAGTCACAGGACCAGGGGCAGACTGACCATTTGGAAACTCGGGCACTGCCCGAGATCCCGGGTTCAGTAGGGGGGCATGAGATGCCCCTGGTACCTTTTTCATAGGCTTTTTTGAGTTTGGGCAAGGACACAGGGGCCCCATGATCCCCTATTGCCCGGGGGCCCCATGAGTTGTGGGTCCGCCCGTTACCAAATATATGTGAGTAAAAATGGTGCTGTGCTACTTATGGTTGAACCTAAATCCACAATGACACATTAACTGCTGATAAATGAATGAACAATCACAAAAAAAACAAAGTAAAGTGAATACTCCACATACAGCAAGTGCCAAATGTGCACAATAATGTCTACAGGAGTGAATCTGCAGTGGTGTAACAAGTGGGAATAGCGTGATCACAAAAAGGAGAAACAAATGTCAGTGAATAAGTGACACACAAAAAACACTGTGAAAAACAATAAAAAGTGTCATGAAAAATGGCACAGAATAAATGTGGCCAAATGGTGACTAGGGACCATCAAGTGAAGTGGAAAAAATATAATATATATATATAAAATATAATCAAATAGCAATATAATATATATATAAAATATAATCAAATAGCAATATAAGTGACATATAAATTGTGACACCAAAAAAATGAACTTGACCAATAGGTGAATGCAAAAAATGTATACAAAAAAACAAAACAAATAATGTCGGAAACATAACAACAAAAATAGAAAAAAGCGCCAATCTATATGTGTCAAAGAAAAATATGTAAAACTTGTGTATAAAGCAGCAACACCCCACCAAAAATATAAATAATAAATTTGGCAAATTTAAACAATATATCATATAGGCATGCGCTAAAAATATACAACACCAAATAATTAAGTGTCTATATTAAGCTGTGAAAGTCCAAAAAAATCAATGTAAAATTCCATTCCACCGTACCGCCCTTTGATGACGTTGTGGTGACGAAACGCGTTGGGCGTGGCCTACTCGATGCTGACGTCAGGACGTTCTGTTCCTATTGTGTGTCGGAGGTGATCCGCGGTGAGCGGAGATCCTCGTTCCTCAGTTTGCTGTGTATCACTGTTTAAGCTGGTGTCTGTCTGGACACCTTTCTTGTGAGTGTATTGGAGATTCTATTAAATATATACTTTTTATGAAAACGTATTGCACCATTATATTTCTTTCTTTTGTCCCTGAGTGCACCCTATATATTATGGAGAGATGGAGTTGAAAGGAGAGATATAATATAAGACCTTTTGCCTGCAGAGTATTGCTTCTGATAGAGATATGCTGTTCCTTATGCCGACTGCCATTATTGATCATCAGGATTTGATTACTTACTTCATCTAATATTTGGAAATCATTGCCTTCATCGCTCCCAGAGCACAAGCGCTGGTGCTGGTCTATAATCTGATCAGCATTTAGCTCTGGTGAGTTTATTTAATTCATTTGGTGGTGGAACATTCACAGTTCACAATGGAATTTTAAATTGATTTTTTTGGACTTTCACAGTTTAATATGGACACTTAATTATTTGGTGTTGTATATTTTTAGCGCATGCCTATATGATATATTGTTTAAATGTCGGAAACATGGACGCAAAATACGTCCCAAAAAAACACAACAAAAGTCCAAAAAAACACAGTCCCAAAACACAAACAGTGTGTGAATCTTCAGCACAAAAAACACGTAGAATTCAGTGACCAAAGGGGCACCATCTAGCGTGCATGTTCACCTTCAAACTACGACCCTCAAGGGGTCACAAGGTATAAATGCAAGTAGATGATCCTCAACAGGATGGATCTCAATGGCGGAACACACAAAAGCTCCTCTTCATGGTATCCACAGCAATCAGTGCTAACGATATCCTTTAAGGGTGTGTATACCTTTGACTCTCCTTAACATCCAAATTCCTCATAAAAAAGGGATCAAAAGAGAGCTCTCATAGTGTAGTAAATAAAACTTTTATTAATATGAAAATAAAAGTAAACTACTCTCAATGTGTACACGGGTCTGCAGACCAGAAATCAATCACTGTATTTAAAAACAGTACAGGGTGTATGAGGTTGGGAGTACCAAGATGGCGGCTGCCATCCGTACCGTAATGACGTCACCACGCTTCCATCCTACGCGTTATGTCACAAGTCACGTGACTTCATCAGGGCTACTGATATATATAGCCACATCTGGCCCGCTACAAGATTGTATCTGGCCCACAGCAACTCTAATGTGATGGCAGGGTTCTAATGTGAAAGGGCGACTCTGATGTGATGAGGGACTTGTGATGGGAAAGGGGGGACTGTGATGTGAAACGGGCTCTGATCTGAAACAATGCTCTGATGTGAAAGGGGGGTGGGGGTGGGCCTGATATGAAGGGGGCTTCTGATATGAAAGGGAGACCCTGTTGTGAAAGGGGAACTCTGATGAAAGGAGGGACTCTAATATAATGGAATTATAATTTGACAAACAGGGGACTTTGATGTGTTTGGGGGGGGTTCTGATGCGAAAGGGGGGTCTCTGATTTGTTAAGGGGGCTACTGATATGAAAGGGGAACTTGATTTTTGTGAGGCCTCTGATATTAAAGGGGGACTCTGATGTAGCAGGAGGCTTCTGATATGAAAGAGTGACTGATTGTTTGGGGGGCTTCTGATGCGAAAGGGGGACTCTGTTGTGCTGGTGGGGTTTCTGATGTGAAAGAGGGACACTGATGTGATGAGGGGGCTTCTGATGCAAAAGGGAGCTTCTGATGTTTTGGGAGACTTCGGATATGAAAGGGGGACTCTGATGTGTTGAAGAGACTTCTGATATGAAAGGGGGACTCTGATGTTTTGGGAGGCTTCTAATGTGAAAGGGGGACTCTGATGTGTTTGGGGAGCTTCTGATGTGAAAGGGCGGACTGATGTTTTGGGGGCCTCTGATGTGAAAGGGGGACTCTGATGTGTTGGGAGGCTTCTGATATGAATAGGGAATCTTCTGATGCTAAAGGAAGGATTTCAGATTATTTCAAGTTCCTTGGAGCATGTTTATTTATTCATTTAAATTTTAATCATTAATTGATGAAACGTTTTTTGTCCCCCGAATATTTGTAAAACATACAATGTGGTCGTCATATAGAAAAGATTGGAGATCCCTGCTCTATACAATTATGAGTATACCCTTTAACAAGGACTCTTATGAAGCTCTTCTGAATCAGCAACCCAAGGAATGCATTAATACCAATTCAAGCTGGTTTTGCACATTCTTACAGCAGCAAAATGGGAAATAGCCAGAGCTTGGAAGACCCTGACCCTTTCCTTCACTGAAGTCAAGTGCGGAGTCTCCCAAGCAATGGTCTTTTGACCGCTCGACAACATAAGATACCAAAATGATAGAAAACATGGGAACCATGGATTGAATCTTATTTTCTGTCCTCTTTTAATTCAGAGTACCCGCTCCTGTAGAGCATTGGTTGTCAACTTATGAGCTAAGGTTGCTTCAAATGGGGCCCCTGACATTGCCAAAGGGCCACACATAATGTTCTACTGCTCAAAAATATTAAAGGAACACTTTGAAAACATCAGATCTCAATGGGAAAAAATCTCATGCTGGATATGTATACTGATATGGACTGGGTAATGTGTTTGGAACGTAAGGATGCCCCATCGTTTGATGGAAATGAAAATTATCAACCTACAGAGGACTGAATTCAAAGATACCCCGAAAATCAAAGTGAAAAAATTATACAGCAGGCTAGTCCATTTTGCTGAAATTCAATTGCAGCAACTCAGAATGGTATCATTCAATGGTATCAATTCCATCATCCTCCAAGAACTGCCTGCATACTCTCGCCACATGAGGCAGGGCATTGTCGTGCACCAGGAGGAACCCAGGACCCACTCCACCAGAGTAGGCTTTGACAATATGTCCATGGATTTCATCCCGATACCTAATGGCAGTCAGGATGCCATTGTCTGTGCATCCCTCCATGGATATGCCTCCCTAGACCATCACTGGCCCACCACCAAAACGGTCATGCTGAATGATGTCACAGGCAGCATAATGTTCTCCAAGACGTCTTTCAAGTCTGTCACGTATGTTCAGGGTGAACCTGCTCTCATCTGTGAAAAGCATAGGGTGCGATTGGCGGACCTGCCAATTCTGGAGTTCAATGGCAAATGGAAATTGAGCTCTATGGTGCCGGGCAGTGAGCATAGGGCCCACTAGAGGATGTCTGACCCTCAGGCCACCCTCATGAAGTCTGTTTCTGATTGTTTGGTCAGAGACATTCACACCAGTGACCTGCTGGAAGTAATTTTTTAGGGCTCTGGCAGTGCTCATCCTGTTCCTCCTGCTGATGGGTTAAGGACTTTCTATGGCCCTATCCAGCTCTCCTAGAGTAACTATCTGTTTCATAGAATCTCCTCCATGCTCTTGAGACTGTGCTGGGAGACACAGCAAACCTTCTGGCAATGGCACGTATTGATGTGTCATCCTGGAGGAGTTGGACTGCCTGTGCAACCTCTGTAGGGTCCAGGTACCACCTCATGCTACCAGTAGTGACACTGACCCGAGCCAAATGCAAAACTAGAGAAAAGCAGTCAGAAAAGATGAGTAGGGAAAAAATGTCAGTGGCGTCCACCTGTAAAACCATTTCTGTTTTGGGGGTCATCTCATTGTTGCCCATCTAATGCACCTGTTGTTAATTTCATTAACACCAAAGTAGCTGAAACTGATTAACAACCTCCTGCTACGTAACTGACCAAATCAATATCCCAGGAGTTTCATTGACTTAATGCTATACTCTGATTAAAAAGTGTTCTTTTAATGTTTTGGAGCAGTGTATATAATGCTTAAGCATATTGTCAGAAACTGCAGATCTAATAAAGGAAATCAGGGTCAGAGAGTGTGGACATTTGGCTGGAGATATGCTGCAGAAGACAATACAAAACTTGGAACATGTTACATGAGGTTAGTAGAGATCAATGCTATTACCCTAATCAATGTTCCCACCACAGAATGTTAAGGTCCGTGCAGGGGCGAACTAACAACTCATGGGGCCCCCGGGCAATAAGGGATCATGGGGCCCCTGTGTCCTTGCCCACACACAAAAAAGCCTATAAAAAAGGTTCCAGGGGCATTTCATGGGGCCCCCTACTGACCCTGGGACCTTGGGCAGTGCCCAAGTGCTCAAA